CACTACGGAAGTAGGATTGCCCAACCTTCCTTCCGAGGAGTGGCTGGTGGGTTTGAACCACCAGCCTCCTGGTGAGCAGTCAAGTGATACTGCCTCGGAAACCCAAGATGGGGTCGCTATGAGTTGGGTCCAACTCGACAGCACATAACAACAACAACAGTAAACTTCTCCATTTGCTGACCTCATGAATAACCCAAAAGCAAGATAAAGGAGTAGCTATGCCATCTGTGGGGTGTCAGGCAGTTTAAAAGTAAGGAGTACCAAGTATGAAACATCAGGTAAACTTCATAACCAAGAAAGCACCGCAGCGACTTCCATTGAAGGCAGTCAATTCCCTTTCTCAGTGGTACTTCTCAAAACCTGTGAACCAGGCTCAAACGTATCGTTGTTGGGTTACTTCTGACACACAGTGACCCCAAGTGTTAAAGAATAGAACTGCTCCACAGGGTGCGATCTTTACAGGAGCCGATTGCTGGATGTTTCTTCTGTGTTCCCCTGGGTGGGTTTGAACCACAAATCATTAGGTTAGCAGTTGGTCATAAAGCACTTGTGCAACCCAGACAACCTTTTCAAACACTCATAGTCTATGCAGAATTTAGATATTTAAAAAGGCGACACTCTCATTCTTATATCTTCTTGAGACTCCCTTACCTTTAGTGTTCAACTGAATGTTTAAACCTCCATTTCCCCTTCGCCCCTGAATTTTTGGTAACGCTGTAATAAGAGCAATGCCCCCATCCTGTGGTATCCAGGATGCTTCACATGTAACAGGAATCATCTAAATCAATTTCCTGGTCTTATATTTCCCCCACTTTCCATCTGGTGTTTCTTTTCTCTAAATTTCTTCAATGGCAGTCTAATCCTATGACTTTATTTAGTCCTTTGCTGTCATTTTTGCTAAAGTGGCTCAGTCTTTGTCTTCTATTCTGGAATTCCTAGGGCCTGTGGCTAGAAACCAGCAGTGGTTCAAGGAGCAATTATACTTGAACTTAATGGTTACAAAGACTGTAGACGTGATATACCTCAAAATTTTCACTTTTGTGTGTTGGGACTCTGGACAATAAATAGGTGAGATTGAAGTTGAAAGGCTTTAAAATGGTGTCCTCCAAAACTAAGCTGAGAAATGGGACTAACAGTTGAACACAAGGAGTTTAGGAAGGCCAAGGAATCGGAACAACTCTTATGGGAATAGATTAACTATAGCTAAAACAACTGAGTCTTGTAGAGGTTGCAGAATGGCTCAGGTAAGAAAGGACATAAACCATAATGGAAATCCTGTTGTGTGTTTTGGAGATGAGTAGACCTATAACTCAAAATCTGAGGTCATGTTCTCATAGGAATGCTCAGAAATTGGGAATGAATGATGCCGGGGCATTATCCCCTTAAGCTTGTGGTCTATATTGAATTTCAGTGTTCACCCCATATTTTCCTGAAAAGTTCAAGTATTTCTGGTAAATGCAGGGCCAGTAGAAGTCTTATTATTTATGTTCATTGACTTAAAAGTTGCCTACAAGGTCTGGGTTGTGACCTAGGGAAAAGTATGGGTGTGGAATCCTCCTTACAAAAGCCTTTTTAAGGAGACCCTCAGGGGACTGCGAATTGGTAATGCCTCGACTGCTAACTGGGAAGTTGGAGGTGTGAGTCTACCCAGAGGAACCTCTGAAGAAAGGCCTGGTGATCTGCTTCCAAAAAGTTAGCCATTGAAAGCCCTGTGCAGCCCAGTCCTACCCTGACACACATGGTGTTGTCATAACTTGGACTCTACAATGGGTTTTTTGGTTTTAATGACTAATTCAGCATCTTTCTTATATTGCTATACAACTCTTAAAAGAAAACATAAAAATAAATCTTCATAACTTTGAATTAGGCAGTTGTTTCTTAAATATGACACCAAAATACAAGTGACAAAAGATAAGTAGATAAATTGGACTGTAGTAAAGAGCTCTGGTGGCATAGTGCCTAAGGCACTTGACTGCTAACCAGAAGGCTGGTGGTTCAA